CACATTTTATAAGAATTTACACGTAAACACTCTATGAAAATTTCGAAATAATGGCTAGAAAATTGAGTTTATATGTGATTGGGAACTAATCCTACATGCAATGAGCCAATGACTTATCGCATGCATAACTATCAGAAAAGTTAATTGTATAAAACGTATTATTATACATATATAATTATAGTATAAAGAGTTAATTTTGTTTACCAAATGTTGGTGAACTACTTGAGAGATGATTTACGCTTCAAAACGTTATTATAAAATGTTGATTTAGGATAAGTAATTCGTTTTAATTTACATGTGAAGTTTTAAAGAAATTTCGAATTAGGTAATGGATATAAAAAAAAAATAGTTTACTAATCATAAAAATTTGGACTAATTTTTCCTTTTATTTATATATAGTTATGTGTTTGCATGTAAAATTCGTGATTAAAAAACTGAGTTTAACACAAGTTTATGAATTGAATAATAAATTTTAGGTACTTAGCTGCAAAAGGGGAAGCGGATCATTACGCGAGAGAGATGAAACGAGAACAAGAAGAGATCGTGACCGTTCCTGAGACCGGTAAGACCAAATTTCTTTATGATTCTTGATCTAAACCGTCCGGTACGAGGGGAATTATCCGGTTTAACGCAGTTTAATTACGGTATTGATTGATAAACAGAGGCAGCTGAGGTGGCAGGGATTCTGGCACAGTACGGAATAGAGCCACATGAATATTCACCTGTGGTTAATTCTCTTCGTAAGAATCCTCAAGCTTGGCTTGAGTTTATGATGAGGTTAGTTTCAGTCATTCTTTTTTAATTACTATGGTTTAATGATAAAATTATTTGTGTTTGGATTTTATTGATTAGTTTAATCTAATGATTTTTTACTTTCCAGGTGTGGACAAGATTTGAGAGCATGTTCTAGAACACTTGGGTGTTCTTAAAATATAAAATTATTAAAATACACACTCTTTTTTTTTTTACTCAATTTTATATTTTTTCTTTCATATTTTTACTCAACTTTTATTAATTTTATATTTAAACACACCCACTATTTCCTATAAACACTCTCTAAAAAGTTTTTATTTAAGAACACTTTCCAAAAGTTCTACATTAAATACACCCACTATCTCCTCTCTTTACTCAAATTTTATTAATTTTATATTTCAATACACCCCACCAAACACTCTCTTTCTTCTTTTTACTCAAATTGTAATAATTTTATATTTTAAGAATTTCTTAAAAACACCCCAAAAACACCCCAATGCACATGGTCCGAGTCCGACTTCCAATTTCACTCTTTTCTATATAAATAAAAATACTTGAACAAACTCAACTTTCCATCTTATCTCTTCACCAACTTTTCATTTCCCGAAATAGAAGTTCCGATCGGAATCGGAGCTCCGGTGACACCATCGGAGGGCTCTCGTTCCCCTGAGTCTTTTACCGAACAGTATCAAGGTAAAACATGGAGGGAATTACTAAGATCTGGCTCAAGAGATGGAGACAAAATCTCCCAGTCTAGGTCTCTTCAGGAAGCTGGTAGCTTTTCCGGTCAGGATTCCGGTCACTGTTACTGCAGAATGCAGTTTTCCGTCGCACACTTGCAACAATTTACTCTGTATTAGAGTCTTCCTGCCCAGTTCTTAGAGTTATTTTCGGCTACTCTGTTTCTAGAGTTTCCTCAAGCTTCTACTCATTTTTTCGAGCTTTGTTTCCTGGTCTTGTTGGATTCAGCTGTTGAATACTCGAGCTCTCTCTACGGCCAAGGCTTCAGAAATACTCGAGCTCTCTCTACCAGTACCCATGGACCAAAGGTATTCTAGGGAGGAGAAAGGCAAGTGGATACCATCAGGTTCTCGTCAAATTAGACGTTCTCCCCTCCGTATCCCTCAAAGCGAGGATTCGAGCCTTATTAGAGACAATCTGCTCTCTATAGTGGGAAGGGTTACTAACCCCATTATCCAACACCCACGAGCTATTGTAGATTATCTCCCTCAGTTATGGAATGTTGGGAGCCGTGTGATTGGAAGGGAACTTGGACCCGAGACTTTCCAATTCAGATTTGACTCAGAGGAGGCCCTCGAGTCCGTATTACGCATAGGGCCATACCACTTTAAGAAGTGGATGTTACTTCTTCAGCGGTGGGAGCCAATTGTTTCCCCTACATTTCCATCTCAAATAACATTTTGGGTTAAGATATGTGGCCTACCTCTACACTACTCATCCGATAGGGCTATTACTACCATTGGAGAAGACCTTGGACTCCTCAAAGGGACCGACAGTGATCATGATAGAGTTAGGGTCCAAATCAATGGAATGGAACCACTTGTGATGAATATGGAGATTATGTTACCAAATGAAGAGGTTACTACGGTGGAATTCGAGTACGAAAAATTGGAAAAACATTGTTTCTCTTGTTTCTCTTTGTCTCACGATGAGAAAGATTGCCATCGGGCTAAGGCGGGGGTTAGAGACCTAAGCAAGTTGGGGATAAACCAAAGGAAGGTACTGAACCGTATGGAAGCAGAAAAGAGATGGGCATATGAAAGGAGACACATGGAACCTCACCCTTCTTATAACCAGAGAAGAGAAATCCCATCAAGGTATGACTCAATGAGAGCTTCTGCTCATACTTCCTCGAGACAGAATTCGAGAGGCAATTCCCGTGAGTACGGAAATAGCCAAGACAGAGTTTCGGAGAGGAAACTACTACACTAGGGAGAGGGAGGAGCAAAGGAAAAGAGGTTCATACTATAGACCGGTAACACAAGCTACTGCCCATAGTTCCCAAGCAACTACCCCGAGTGGAATCAAACCGCGTGAACTGGGTTATTCAGGAAGTGATCTCAGAAATAGTTCTCTCTTAAACTCATCCCGAAAGGCAAATTCGCAAGCAAGATCGGGGAGTAGTCACACCCCTCCACCCAACCCACAAAGAGAAATAATGCTACCGAATTCCCTTCCCACCATAGTGGAAGAGGACACTACTCCACGGTCACGGAGACCAGCTTTGGAGCGTCTTTCTCAGCCTCGTACACCTGTTCTCCAAAGATTAGGAGCAGCAAACAGTGATGAATCGGGTCGACTGCAGGACATCCTGGTTCAATACGATCCAAGCAATCAAATTCTGGAATCTACCCGTGCCTCGGGACTAGGGGGGAACAGTCAAGCCCCGGAGATAGACACAGTACAAATTACTATCCCGAGAGCTACGAAACTGGTGGCAAAGAAGAGGACTACTAAGACACAAGGTTCAGCAAGCAAAAGGAGAATGGGCAGTAGCCCTCTTGTAGGAGCTAATTCTCGCAAGAGAAATGCCTCAAGGATTCTCAACCCGCCAAAAAAGAAGACTACAAATGGTAAGGCTGGACCAAGTAAGGTATTACCCAGTGATTGGGAAGGCGAAACAAGGTCTCAAGAGGGTGCTCATGAGCACACTA